GTGAAGACGGTAAAGGATGAGGAAGAGATGGAAGACATGCGTTGTAAAGCGAAGAGGAATGCATATAGTTCTGCTGTAAGACGCTCGATTCAGGAAGAAGGGAAAAGTTGTATGCGTGAGAAGGAAAGACTACGGCCACCTGTACAGAAAAGGGTACTGGAGGAGTGACTAGAGATATGTGCAAGAAAATGTGTGAGGATAGAAGGTGGGATGTTTGATTTGGTTAGATCGGGGAAAATGGAAGAACAATTACAGGAGGAAGGTATTAGCCAGGGAGGGAAAGGTTGGACAGAAAGAGGTAGGGATCGGAGATGAGGAATGGGTGAATGGGAAAGCAGAACATCCACACGAACAGGGAAAGGGGCAGGTAAATGTGAAGAGGAGAGGGTATGAAGACAGGATTGAGGGACAATTAGCTAGGAGAGAGAAATTTGATGAAAATGATACAACAGAGCAAGACGTCGAGAAAGGGGTGGTAGGCCTGATTCAGTGCATAGGCTCTCAACTGGTGAGGATCGAAAGGCGCCCAAGGCTAAACGGAGACCGCAATGATGGATTGTGTCAAGTTGAGTAAGAAGGGACGCAGAGGCAGAGTATATATGCCAGCCTAATCAAGGGTGGAGAGGATTAGAGTCATATGGAGTTTTTTTCGGTCTGAACCCCAAGATATATGTGAGAGGGTTTGTAAGAGTCGGAGGCGACGGCGGGCTTTTTCTTTAATAGAAAGGATATGATCTCGTCAAGACAGTATGGAGACAAAAATGACACCAAGAATAGAATAAGGTAGAGAAGAATTTTTCAATGAATTACAGGTAACAACCATACCATTTCATGCAATATTATGTTACTCACTTTTAATAAGGTACAATGAGGATTGAACTTAAAATGACAGGCATTTTATTTATTGAAAAATTTCTGCTGTGTCAACAGTTAAGATCATTAATGTCATATTCAAAATATTGTAATCGGGTGGGGCTTGGGGACAAAGCCCCCAGGTAAGGAAGTTGTTTGGTTCAGAAGGCTAAGTTTGTGGATTTCCAGAATGGTTAATGGTCGAAACAAATGTGCCCGCCTTCAAAGGTCATACAGCATTATGATGAAATATTGTGGCAAAAAAAGGTAAAATTGACTAAATGATTAGGATAGGTGGACAGATGAAGGGGATGAAGTTGAGAAGGAAAAGGAGAGGGGGATTTATTTATTCATTGAAAATCTTCTGCCGCATCAACATCAAAGGTCATTAGTGTCATATTCAAAATGATGCAATAGGGTGGGGCCTGGGGACAAAGCCCAGTTAAATAAGCTTTGTTGGTTTATAAAGCTAAGTTTGTGGATTTCCAGAATGGTCAATGGTCAAAAATGTGCCAAACATTAAAAGTTATATAGCATTATGATAAAATATTGTGGTGATATAAGGGTAAAAAGAACTTAACAATGAGGATAAATGGACAGAGGAAGGGGATGAAGAAGGGAAGGGAAAGGAAAGGGAGAGAAGAAAAGACAATGCAAAATTAGTTGAGGCAAGGGTTGAGGTCCAAGGCAGGGGTCTCTGTCTCCTAAGCCCCCTCCCCCCATGACAATGAACACGGGATGGAGAGGTAACAGCATTTTAAACATCACTCCATATAGCTGCTTTTCAATTTGCTGAGGGTGGCAAATAATGTCCTGTAGATTAGGCACAGATTTTTTTTTTGTTTAGTAACCAAATCATTCATCATTCCATGTTATTTGTCATGTAGATAAGGTGGCCTTTTGTAGGAAAAAAGACAGGAAAAACTTATTTTGCTAATTTTTGTTTCCATTTCCATTTCCATGTTTCCATTTCTTTCCTACTCTTTCTGAGAATTTTTTCTTTCTTTCCTGTGGCACACATTATGTGTCAGTGTTGTACTCTGATGTGTTTTACACTGGTTAAAAAAAGAGAAAAGTAATTTATGGTGGTTTTAATAAATAATTATCTGCATTAATACTACAACCACATATAACTGAAATTGGATATTTATATCATAAAGTTATACATCTGCATGTAATTGTAGTAATGTTTATTTCTTAGGATCGGTACTGTTGCAACTTGCCTATACCCATTGTGTTACTTCCTGTCAAGATGTGACACCATTAGTAGTACCTATAACTATAAGGGTATTCACACTGTAACAAACAGATGACTGTTGGGTATGTATATCAGACATTATAATGGCAAAGAATACATATATGGCAAAATACTTATGTCTTACATGAGGCTTAAAGTCTCTTTTTAGCCCCTCTATCTAAAACATTATGTTTGCCATAAATTTGTATGTGGTTTAGTATGAACAGGGAAATTCCAGAACAGAAGCAAGTGCACTCTAAATATTTCCCAGCTTTACTGTAGGCTCCCCTGTAGTACTGTTTTGTGAAATATCTCTGCACACAGATGGCTCTACAAGTGCTTAGCCACAAAGGAGTCCTTGTGACCTCACCTGATATCACCTTTCCTTGAGTTTGGCGGAAAAACTTTTTTACTAATGCTATCAAAACTGACGCTGTTATTTTTATTATGGACTTTATAATTACCATAGTGTTATTGACATTGCTAACAGTAATATTAGATAACAGAAAATCTTTTTGAAAATCAAGAGAAAGGGTAAACAGGTGAGATAGGTAGTACTCATAATTGGCTCATTGGTGACTCAGTACTTATGAATCCTCACATGTGCTATCTTTTAATGTATATGAGGCTAAAATCTCTACAATACATTCTTCATATTACAGTTATAATGACAATATTTTATATTTAGAAAATAATATCTAAACAAATGGGTTATGTTCCTAAGTACTGTTTCAATTAGCTATATTTAAAAATCGTAAAGTCTGTACCAGAATTTCTAGTTTATAAGTTCATGGAATTTTACTGGAAATCAAAGAGTAATAGAGAAAATTAGAAATAAGATTTTTAAAATATTCTTACTTTATAATTGGAGCTTATTCAGAATTCTTAAATAATAGTCAATAACTGCAATAACTTCATATCAATACTGTCATTATTAATACCGATATTTTTTCATTTAGATTTGTATCAATATGCATGATTATCTTACCTGCTTTTTAACCCCTTAAGTAAAATATATGTTAACTGTCATACAGCTCTGTATATTCCACAGACTTATTCATTGCAGTTTTGTGTCTCTTCTTTTCTGTATCTAGAAGGACACACATACCAGCATAACCTTTCCATCATTTTTGAGTTAATGCAATAACAATCATTTTTAGTTAATTTTGATAAACTAACCCATTCCCAATGGGCATGCCATGCCATGCCCACTGTGAGATTACTTGTTAGATTGTTTTCACACATAGATGGCTACACTTGTACTAAATCACCAATGAGCCAGTTACGAGTACCGCCTGTCTCGCCCGTTCACCCTTTTCTTTGATTTACGAAATATTTTACATTATCTTATTTTGCTGTTACTAATGTTAAAAAACATTATAATAACTATGATATTTATATTAAAAATAACACCATCAATATTCATAGCACTAGTGAAAAATATGTTTTTCCCGCCATTTCAAATCAGGCACTAACAGAACCATCTATGGGCAGACATTTCACAAAAAAGTATAGAAAATAGGCACAGCATTTTCCCCATTTTTTTGTTCATTTTCCCCGGTGGCAATGGGTTAATATGATTAAATAATTATTTTTAAACATTTGTTTTATAAATGGTATTGTCGCTATGTACTGAATATCCTTGAATTTATGTTTCCTACAAGAAAATTTAAAAAGTTTGTCAATCCAACAGGAAAATATATGGGGCAAGTGCACCACTAAAGTTTTGCAAATTGTTCTCCAATTATTCAGATTTTTTTTTGTCTTGTGGGTCTGGTGTTGGTTTTATATCAGCCAACGCTTTCAGTTGCTGGCTGATTATTTGCTTGTTATAACTGCAAGTGTGTGTGTGCCACCAAAGCAAAATTAGTGACTCTAATCAGCATGGACAAATACTTAGCACAAGTCTTCTCAACTGTCTAAACATGTAAATATACTCATTAGTAATGACTAGTCTCTAATTATAGGATAATGATAAAAAAATGCAAATCATAAATGTTCAGTGCATCTACTGTAACAACTGTGGAAATGAGAGATGTGTGTCAGTGTTTACA